TCTTAATTGGTAAGTTTAGAGAATTTTCTTGCATTTAAATTTGATGCAATCGATTATAATTTGAATTTGTATATTTTTATTAAAAGGTAATTTTAAAATTTAATTTTTATGTGATTTTATGTAGTAATTATATTACTTTTTATTAATCATTCTTTTATTATCTATTTTATTTTAATTTGCTTATACATTTTCATGATAATGTTATTTTTTATATTTTTCGTTTTAAAGCTACAGCAAAAGTAAAAATTTTAAAGATTTATAAAATATGTGAATTTAATCATATATTTTTATAATTTTTAATTTTATTAATTAAATATAGATTCGATAAGTAATTCACTTCTTCGTCAATTTATTAGCTTATGATGTTTATCGAATATCTTTTCTAACGAATGAATATGGAGGAAAGAGAGAGATAAAACATCTTTATTTATCTTCATTAATATTTTATTTTATAATTTAATTCAATTGAAAATCTGATTGAAAATTAGATGAAAATGATGAAATATTATCCCAATAAAATTGTATCTATATTTATAATACGTGTTGTACATGTTGTATCTATGTCCTTCTTACTTATTCTATCTAGTATATTTTCATTTTTCAAGATAAATATTATAATGTTTTAAGATCCACATATTTTTTATTTTTTAAATTAGAAAATTCGTACAAACTTTGTAAAAATTTAAAAACGATCAAAGACAATTTATTTTAAATAGTCAAATATAATAATTGACTATAATACAATAATTTAATAAGAACACATAAATATATAAAGAATGACTTTATATGACAAAATTTCACATACAATATTTTCTTCAAATTATTTTATGAACAAAAGTTCATAATTTCTATTGCAATTCTGTTGTTTCGAAATTTATTTATACATTTTTCTAAATAGTAAATTATTTCAAGACTTCATTGTCAAGTTTATAGAAATATAATTATTTCTTATAACATTCATATAATTCTTATAACATTCTTATAACATTCAATTAAATAATATACGAATTTTTTAAATGTTGTTTATTGTTCGATGCTATCCAATTAATATATACACAACAGTCATGCAAAGCATAAAGTTAAATGATTTTAAATTATATAAATTTGATTTAATTTAATACATGCTATATAAATTCAGTTGTATACCATATAATTTTCTTGAAGAATTTGTAAAATAATAGACTCAAATTTACATATTTTCTATTTATATGTAAATTATATTTTTATGATATTCAATTACGGTCCAAATTGTTATATTTTCTTTAATTCTTTTAATTTTAATTTTTAAACAACAAACAATTCCGTAACAAATTAATTTCATTAATTTGTAATTTTCTTTATAAAAAATAATACGAACAGTTATCTGAGCCATAGATTATTTTAATTTCTTCTCTCTTCTGAAGAATAGTTTCTTAAATAAGTGAATATATTTTTGCATGCTTTAATATATTTTCTCTTTTTTTTTTATTTTTTAAAATTGAAATACGACTACTATTAAATAACGTATAAACATATTAGTATTGATATTTTGTTTTTAATTGGCTTAGAAATTGGCGGAAGAAAAACTGAAAGCTTTTTTTAAAATAATACGTTTTCCAGAGAAAGGAATTATTAATGGTCCTTTAATCGTTTTAAGTAAAATTTCTTTGTAGCTACGTCATGTTGTTGGTCTAAAAATATTTTTACCCAATCGATAACTCAAGTATTTTCCTACGAATAATTTATCGACGAAATGCCTTGAGAAAGTACAAAATTTTAGACAAGCCTTTTTTTTAATGCTTGAACAGCAGGTACATTGTTTATCGATGTTTAAATTTCAGTGTTGCGATATAAATCCATTACAAGAAACAATGTCTATTTTAAAAAACTTACCCCAATATTTTTTAAATAATTCACTCTTGTGGATTATTTAATTTATAAAAAAAATATATACATTTGTATATGTGTCAAAAAAAGTTCTTAAAAATAAAAGTGTCTTAAAAGTGCAGAGAAAAGTTCAGACAAATATACAACAAAATTACGGATGCAAATTCTTATAAAATAAAAGTTTCTTTAAAGTTCAGAAAGAAGTTCAGACAAATATACAACAGAAAATTATGGATGCATATTTATTTCAGCTGTAAGTTAAAATAATGGTTATCAGCTGCAATTTATTCTCGTAGACAAGAAATAAATGATTGTTCAATTCTTTCTATAATACTTCTTCTATAATATAAAAGTTTAATCTCAGTTTTAAAGAATCGTTTGTTATAAACTTTTAAAACGAAATCAAATCGAAACGAAATTAATATGTTTATAATTCAAAAAGAAGAAATAAAATATTTCATAATATTTCATTGTATCGATACAAGCATTAACATAGCCACATTATTGCATATATTTTAATAGAATTCGTTCCATTAGCGATGATAGCAGAACATGTTTTCCGTGCTATCTTGATAACGACGTGAATATTTTACCGATCATATTATCGTATATCATTTAAATCAATAACATTATGATGTTTGATATTAAATCGAAGAAAATTGATAAAATTATTTTTCATCATTTAGTAAAATATCTTGCAATCTTTTTTATTCCACTTTTTTTTCTTAATTGAAAAATTTAGAATTTTTTAATTTAATTAGAAATGCAGAAAAATGTGAGAGAAATAGATTTATCAAAACCAAGTATATACAAATATGTATTATTTCTAAAATGATTTATAGAAATTGCAATTGGATTATAGGATAGACTCAATATGCAGTATAATAGTTAGATAATATGATAAGTTAGTAACATTTAAATTCAATGGGCATACAGTTAGTACTGATAAAGAATACATAGAAGGAATTATAAGCATATGTCATTCTAATAATGAATTTTAACTAATACTTCAAAATCAATGTCAAATTACAGAATTTTTCATTTTTAATACGCTGCGTAATTGAAAATTTGCATGAATTTTTATATTGCAATATATTTACTGATTAATTTATTCAAAATATAATTTAACTGATATACATCGATTTAGAAATTTAATATCTTCATTTCATTTTCAGAAAATTTGATAAGATGCCAATCAAGTTCTATTTAAAATCAATCTTACTGTTTATCATTGTTGGCTTCGTTGTTGGTACTGAAAACTACATAGATTACTCAGGTATGTAAAAAGAATTTGTATTTCTATTTTTTTGAATACTTACTTAATATATTTAATTACACATTTATTGAATACAACATAATTTGCTTGTAACTTAAGTAAAATAAATAGCAATTTAAGCATCATATGTTGTTAAAAAATACTTCAGGATAATAAGATAATAAGATACATTTAAATTCCTTACAATTCTTATTTATTTTATTTATCTTACATGATCTTATTTTTTTCAAATGTAGAAAATTCCTATTAATCTTTAAGATTATAATGATTATATTAAAAAATAATCAATCTGCAATCTGAACACATTCAATAATATTTAAATACTTTCTTCTTGACGACTTGATAAGAAGAAATAAACAAAAATTTTCATTGGCAAAATTTGTAATACCTTTACAGATGAAATATCAGAAAAAATGCCAATAGAAAATATTCACGAGTTTTATAGACTTCTGATGCAACGCAATGCTTTAGAAAATGCTAGACTTGGCGAAACTCCATTGGAACATTTAATGATCCGTAAATCTCAGCGATCACCTTCATTGCGCTTACGTTTTGGACGTTCTGATCCTCATTTATCTGTAAGTACGAATAGATATTTATTTCTAAATAATTGTTATTTTAAATTTTTGAAAGTCTAGATCAGAATTGAGATTTAATCGTAATAAAATTTTTATAATATTCATATTTTTCAGATTGGAATTCTGTCAAAACCAATAAGTGCTATTCCATCATCCAAATTCGATGATAAATGAAAAAAAATGATTCATTTCCCTTTTTTTTCCTCCTCCTACGTGTATAAAAATCCACTATTTATATTATATAATTATTAAAAATTAAAAATTGTACTTATTTTATTAATGTTTTACAAGAATGATGAAAATATATTTTTTTTTTTCCTCTTATCCCTATTATTCTTTATAATTATTCTGTGTTATATAAATTAATGTATATACATATTATATAAGAATTATTTTTAATAACACGATTTATCGATCAATAAAAACATCTTACATGTTTTTTATATTTTCCTATATGCTGAACGCATTTTTTAATTGCTTTAAAAAATTTTATATGAAAATATGATAATATATATAATAATAGTGTGTTTGAAAAAAACTGTCAATTGAAATCAAATAATAAAGAAATATAAAAAAAATATCAATTAAATCTTTATTAATAATATTTTTCCAGAAATACAGCTATTGTGTAATTTATCTTAAACTGGATTAAACTTTATTAAAACTAAGAAAAGTTCAAATCGTTATAACTTCGAAGATAATGATTTTCGATTAATGAATAAACGATCATTAGAAGTGCAGAACCTTCCTTTTTAAAATGCTTTTTAATTTATCTCAATATCACTTCTGGTTTCCGAGTAATTATCGTGTAAAAGAAAAGATAATTTTTAGTCGTTTATTATCTTCATTCATTCTCGTCTTTCTGACCTATCCCAATTTCCAGACAAGTGACAGACTCGATTCCTAGAAAAACATAGTACGCAAATGTAGTATGTATTTCCAAGAAAAGATATAGGTCACGTGATCACAAATCCATTCATAATTTCCGTACTGTTAAATGCTATGAAAATGTTGAGTCCTTATATCTCAATAACTATTTGATTTATCAGGATAATTCAAAAAATGAAATAAATGATACAATTTCCTTTATTTTCTGACTCTTAATGAAGAAAAATTTTTTCTTTATGTTTTTTATATGAAAAGTTGAAGTTTCGTTCGATTATAGTAATCTTTTTAAAATACTTCTTTTGCATAACTTTATTTACATAATATTATATTTAAATATATATTTAATGCAGATATACATTAAATTATATAAAAAAAAATGTACAAGCAAAATATTAATTTTGGAATTAATTTATTTTCTGTTAATTTTTTTATAATTTAAAAGTATTATTTAAAGTGTGCTGTCTTTGTAGAAGAACAAAGTTTCTTAAGTAAATACACTGCTTCCCTATTTTCATTAGTTAATTCACCAATATTTTTAAATTCTGGTCGTGATAATATTTGACTTCGTGCATGCTCCACAGTTATAGAAAGTGGCATTGTTAAAATTTTTCGCCAATTCGTTTTTTCGTATTGGATTAGAAACTGGAAATAAAATAATATTATATTTCTTAAATATATATTAATATTATCCATTATAATTATTTTAATTAATTATAATTATTATCCTATATAATTATATCAATTTTACTGACTTGATCAAATGCAGTATCTTCAATATGGAACATTATATGAGTTAATGGTTTAAAAAGAGGTGTAATTTCAGGTATATCGTCCTTAAGTCTGTCGACATTATTTTGCCTTAAATTATTCAATATTAAATCCGAAGCATGAATTAAAAATTCATGAACCACCTAATATAATATCACGTTAAACTCAATTTTTAAATTATTAGATTAAAATTTTTATACATAATAATTTATAATATATAATGTATATCTTTATTACCTTCAAAGCTTGACGTCCCGAACTGGTAAACAATAATTCATCGGTATATATTTCAATAATAGAAGACATATTTGTTTCATCAATACACGAATTTGTATTCAATGTTTGCACACTAAAAAAATATAATAAACGAATAAATAAACATTAATTCTAATAAATATACATACATGATTTATAATTTTAGGTAAAATTTTTATTCTTAATAATCTTACTTTTTTTTTACAAGTTGAAAGAAATCGTCAATTTGTGCAGTATGCTTGTTATCTTCATCTATACTACAAATAGCTTCAGCTAAAGTAGTCACAGTTGCTGATATATCATTAGGATTAAAAATATTTAATTCACAGTCTTTAGATGTTGAATTATCTTCTATTTTTACTTCACAATTTTTTGAGAATTCAATAAGAGCGGTATAAAGAGATGCACACAAAACATGAAGAAGAACATTTCCACCAATTGGATGACAATGAGCAGGAATATTATCATTTAACGCGAGTACAGTTTTCAAAATTGCAAGTGGTAACGTTACATATAACTCAGTGAAACAGCCAATTACTAGTGACATTGCTTGATACATACTAGCTCCTGTCTGAAAATTATTATATTATTTCATTGAATATTTTTTTAGATTTTTAAGTACATTTTCATATATATGAAACTTAGATTAAATCTTAAATATTATCTATTTTAATTTATATAATGTAAATCTATAAGATATTTTAAATCGAAAAATTATTAATTTAAAAATCATCTCAATTTTACATAAATATACAGTTATCACAATCGATAACTTACTTTTACAGCTTTTAAAAGTATTTCAATAATTGGTTGCATCATATCTTTTAATGGATTTAAAATTGCATTTAACCAAGGAGGTCTTGATTGGTTCCAAACCTAAAAAAATATGTTCATTTTATTTTCAAATATTCTTATTCACTTACTTTTAAAAAACAAATACCTGTTGTCGATCAAGATAATTAGACCACTCAGAATTTTGTTTTAAAGCTGGTATAATAACATAACCAGGATCTTGTGCTGTATATGTTAAAATGTACATTAAACTATAAAGACTCAATGCTGATGTTATTTTCATCGATGGATTGCACATTGCACCACTACATAAAAAACCACCGCAATTCTCTTTATCGAATTTCAATTTCTTGAAATTTTCAAATTCGTTTTCACATGTAAAATTACCACATTTATAAATAAGAGTGTTTAATAATATTTTGGCTACTGCACAATTGTTCATAAAAATTATCTATGAAAATTTAAAAATAACATCTTTTAATTGTGATATTTAATTTAAAGTATTTTTAACATATATATACAAAATATACATTCTTCTTCTAAATATTCTAAATAATAATTTTATAATATTTTTTTTATATTCAATTAAAAAGGAAAATCAAAAATTATTGTCATTGAAATCAAATAAATTCAAATATATTTATTTTATAATATATTATTTATAATATATCTAATTTCTGTGCTATAAAATATCATTGTGGTAATATAATAAGCGATATTAATAACCTTCATTAATTGAGGCCAATTCGGCTGAGGTTGATGTCTAAGAATATTTAATTCTAAAATCACAAGTCGATTCGAACATAAATTTGAAATGTATACATCAGAATCGATAGAACCTAATAAATTTGGCGCGCATATTAATAACCAGGGAGCAGGTTCACGACGCGTTTGTAGAATCGTTAAATTTTCAAACCCAACACGAAATACCTGTGATAACAAATTTTTCATATAAAAATTTATAAAATAAGATATATTAGATGAATTATCTTAAAAAATAAAAAGCATATTAATATTTGTACATATCAAACATGTTTTAATACCTGATATAATTCTTGAAGAGGTGTACCTCTTAATAATAAGCAAATCAATAACTCATTACATTTTGTATGTATATCCCTAATAGCAGTAGGCAATTTATTTAATTTCATACCGATCATTTCATTGGCATTTACACAGACAGCTAAAGCAAGATATCCGGTACAGCAAAGGACGTTAAAAGCATCTGTCCAAAATTGTTCAGCTCGTGCCAAACTTGGTCGACCCTATTTATATTAGTTCATATTTATTTGTATTGATATTATATATATATATATA